CTCGAGGTCACCTACAAGGAGTAAATTAAGTCATGTATTAGGTAACGGCCATTAAAAGTTTAACATCCATAATGTGAAAATCTGCTACAAAGATAATGACCGGTCAGGGGGGTGCATGTAAAGGGCCAAGTATATATTGAGAACTGCAGGATCGGTACAATGTATGTATCGAAAATCCCTAACTTCATATATCTATCGCGTATAAATCAAAATTGTGAAAAGAATGCATCATGTTAAAGTTAAAGAAGTTAAAGATCAGGTAGATTCAAGGAATATCATTAAATGTCTCCAACTGTAGTGCCAAATAAAGAAACCAAAGTTGAAGTTCTCTTATTGAAACAGCCGAGAATATATATCATTATGTTCCTTCCACCCATAAAGTAGGTTGTGTCATCCTGGACACGTGTTAGTCAGGTGTCAATGAATCATAACTGGATGATATGTGACACTGTTAAGTTTGTGACACTGGCAACCTTACGACACTATTTGTTACGATGATCAAAATATCTTTCTCATTTTGTTACTGGAAACACAGAATATACAGGATGCATTGTCACTGACGATAGCAATACTTGGCTATCACGTACATTAGTAAACAACGTAAGCCAAAGTACTAGAAAACAACATAAGCCAAAGTACTAGAAAACAACATAAGCCAAAGTACTAGTAAACAACATAAGCCAAAGTACTAGAAAACAACATAAGCCAAAGTACTAGAAAACAACATAAGCCAAAGTACTAGTAAACAACATAAGCCAAAGTACTAGAAAACAACATAAGCCAAAGTACTAGAAAACAACATAAGCCAAAGTACTAGAAAACAACATAAGCCAAAGTACTAGAAAATAATATACACAGCCTTTTAAGCCAATTTTTTAATGCGGATTCAAATCGTTTTAGGATGTCTGCAAACAAACGAATACAAGAACATCTCACCATTAAATTAGAATGGACCATATGTTGATTATACATGCTCTCATTTTAACCGGTAATAATGCATCGTAGCCATCACTGATCACTGAAGTTGAAGAAAAAACAGAAAGCAAAAACAAGTCGTGGAATGCGCGCCAAGAGAAAACAATTTTAGATATCTACGGTGAAGAAAAAAATAGTTGCTTATATTTGATATCTAAAATCATTGTAACAATTTCATCCACTGATATTACCAGCGCTGTTATATAATAAATATGGATGTTAAGATATACCTATAAAATATGTTTACATCTAAAGACAATACCTAATCAAGGAAGCAAATGGGTTACAATAGGTGATGAAACAACACGTGTCATGTGACAAGTCCAGTGAAGAACTATTCCAGAAATGTATTCAATGAAAGGATAGAGCTATTATAATTTTAACATGAACTTTTATGACATAATGTAAATTTCAACAATATTTTTTTATCGTATTTTCCAATTTTATTGATCTTTGGTAGGTAGAAATTTGGTATTATTATGGATGCTATGGCGCTGTTCGATAGTGTAGTAATGTTAAGTGACATATTCGGGTGATTTCACTTGTCATGTTCATTATAATTATCCATAGTGAGTAAAACAGCAAAATGTACCCAGAAATCTGGATTGATTAAAAGGTCATGGTTCACGACATGGTAGTTGTGATAATTATATACATTTTCATCTTCCAATTTTATGGCACATGGTTATCTAGGTAAGCTCAGAGACGGTAAGATGAGTTTCAGGAGAAATATTTTTAAAAAATCACTGGAATGAATTTAGATACATACTGTTACTTGATTTACGTCAATAACAGAAAATATAAAGTTAATGGAAACTAGATATTCTCTTTTTATCAATATATGGCCATTGGTTTATATAAATTTTCACAGCAGATATAAACTTATCTTAAGCTAAGATCCTAATTGTCTGAAAGATAAACAATATCGCTCTGAGAATCTATATATCCACAAACATCTCTTTACTGGAAATAAATATTTATCATTGAAGGTTTTGTCGCTCCACTGACGTTAAAATTAATGTATCCCCTATAAAAATATATATTATAGTTGATAACTGGTAGCAACAGGTAATAAACAAATACCGCGATGCTTAAGTAATAGACACGCATAGCTCAAACCAGGAAGTTGATGAGATGATGTAAGTTAAGCTTAGAGATTGTACAAAAGACACACAAGTAAATAGCACCTTTTAATACAAATACAAGTTAGATACAGAAGTGCCAAACAATGACGTAAACTGATTCACAAGCTGATACGTCCTTTCTTTGTTGAAGTCAAGGAAGAAAAATCCAAAGTGACGAAAGAAAAGTAAAAATCAAGATGGGGAGGTGCTCCAGAAACAAGACAGATAACATAAGCCTCTCTTGGAAATTTGATATCTATATATTCCTATGTGATCTTAACAAAAAAAGTCTCAATTCTTCATTGTCCTTGTGTAGTCAAGTTGGTGGTAGAATGTTCTGACAAAGGTAACTTGGTACATCAAATTGGTTTAGATAAAACATCACCGTAACGCACCAAAAACCGAAACCTGTACTCATCACGCACGTAAATATTGTCATAGCTGTAAGTTAACTTAAGATAATTCAACGCCTTTGTTGTGGGATGAAGATTGCATGAAATTGGAATCCTGACCAAGGGTGGTGATTAGTATAAGTTTGCAGTTCGTTTCGCAATCGTTGAAAATTGATCAGGTTTTATATTATTGTATAACAACAAACTTTCAAGGTTAAAGTAAACACGCCGCAGCCTATTTGATTGTACTTTAATTAAACGGAATTTTCACACTGACTTGTAATTTCCTCCTTATGGGTTCGCCAAAGCAAGTTGGGTTATTATAGGTACCAGCAACGATAAGTATCCCAACCTGAGTAGATAACACACTGGTATCTACCACATCAGCTACTGCCCTTACACAGGCTAAACCTTGGTCAAATTTGTCAGAGGTACCTTATAGTATAGCATATAAGCTCTACAACATCCACAACACGTCTGGTTCAGTATTACGTAATATTTTCCACGATGGTTTTAGAAACCACCTACATACTTATCAAGTATCCACCTCAGGGTAAACCTTGCACACACCTGCTTTGTTAAAGCAGTAAGAACTACAAGGGACCGCCACACTTAAGAGGTATGTCCTTGACACATATTGCGTAATATTACACTTAATATTCTGTATAAATTTATTCTAATTCAAATAATAATCTTTTTTTTACCTCCATCCTATGGGATTCACGAGGCAAGTGTGATTCTCAGTTTACTATCAAAACAGATTATAATGTGTGTTTACCAGACTCTTTTGGTAAAACACAATCCTATAAATTTCGAAATTCGTAAAGGTATACCTACTCCACACCACAAGCCCATCCCCAGAATTCATTAACAACGAATCCGGACGCCTAATGGAATTCGAAAATGGTAGGTGTCCATCATTTAGTACCACTCGTTCCTTCATGTTCCACCCCATGCACGTCCTCAAATATCACATTTTCTCTATATTTATGAAAAAAGTAAAAAAAAACCAAACAAACATGGGCCAGAACAGAATTCAGTAAAACAAATAAGAATAAAAAAAAACCCGCAATAACACGGGTACTTTCTAGTGGCGCCAATTTGTCACAAGTCTGTAGAAAATGATATGGTGGAAAATATTACCATGTCTTATGATGTCCTGGAATCACTTTTTTATAGCTTTATTTTGTTGGTGATTTTTTGTTTCTTTATTTAGGATATTACGTCCTTATAATAGGTAAACCTAAGAGCTAGATTCCGAGAGGCGACTTAGGACAACACCATCAACAACAAAATATTGTTGAACGTATGAGAGATAAAGTACCTCGATTTGGCGAAAGTGCAACACTGAGTTCGAAAAAATTCCAAAAACTAGAACCAGGAAGAGAAAATAGTTTCTTGACATTAGAGAAATGTGGATAATGTTTACAGTCATACACCGAATAGCAGTTCCTTCCAGTTCATTCACGAGTAGTATGTGTGTGTATCACTCGGATTGTCAGTCGTTAGACATTAGAATTGATCACGGTAAAAGCTACATCATCATCAACCTTATTTAACTTTTGTATTCCAGAACAAAGATTTCGAAAATGTTTTAAACACCTCTGCATGAAAAGCGAAGATAGCTCGCGTACGTCTACTCACCTTTTTTATTTCTTGTCTGTATATCAGAATTCATACAACATGAAACTTTTATGTCCATTTTATTTATTTGATAAAAGGGAGAGACGCCTTCTCACATTTATGTGTGGCATACCTATAGTAAAACTGTTTGTACAAGTAAACAACACACCTTCAGCACTCGCAAGATTTAAAAAGGTTCACAGATCTTTGCCATTGCGATCTGACACTGAACAGTCGTCGGCAGTGAGGAATTCGTTAGTGAAATGTACCTATTAATGTTTTTATAAATACGCATCCGTTTCGTTTTTCGTTATATAAGCATATCTTGCATATCTTGGTCGTTCATGTTGAAGTTGACAGATATACTTGTAACGTTCTCGTTTCTCCATCAAATGTATTTTATGTCGTTGAGTCATTTCGGTACGTAACGAGATTATTACAAATGTCATCAGGTATTTATTGATAAGAAACAATTGTATGTCATATAAACATTAAATTAACGAAACACTCATTTAACCTTAAATCTGAATACGTTGTAAGTACGTAACACTACCGCTGACTAGACTGAATGTGATGTATAATCATTCATAATCGTTAATGAACGCGATGTCAATCAGATGTAAATTTCATAGCAAAAAACAAACTAATACCTTATATTAAGGCGTCTCTACCGCTTTAACTATAATTATGCATAATTTGTCTTGATCAGTTTTCATTTCATGAATAATCACAATGTATACGATTAAACCATCTTTAAAGGAAAGATGGCCTGCCTATATAAGGATAGTTATTTTCTATCCGGCCTAGTAAACGCCGTACGACGTCGGTGTTTTCGGCGTTATTTCCAGTGAGAACAAAATTGTAAGGAGTACCGCTGTCTTTCGACATGGCCTTTCAAACGCATTGTAGTGTATTGTTATTGGTCTTTATGGCAATTACAGGTAAGTTTCTTTATAAAAAGATGCTACCTACATTTGAAAGAAAGAAAATGGAAATAGGACAGTTCAAGGAGATTTACAACGCTTCAATTAATATAAAAGTTTGAATGTTTTTAATATACTTTCTTAAATGTCATTGTCATGGGTGGAATGAGTGAATGGGAAACTGTTAATATTTAAAAGAACTTTTGCTTATAAAAATGTCCGTTAAATGCATGGAATGCATAACTATTGTGTTGTTCAATTTAGGAAACAGGAACTCTTTCTCACGTTACATTTGAGAGATGTGAAGAACATTAATTCATAGTTTATATAATAAAACACCAGGGTCTCTGACTTTTGAAATTATATGTGTAAAGGGATACAATTTATTCTGTTCAATGAAGTTTATTTTTTTACCAAAATCAAAACCTTTTGAACAACATTTTATGTTCGGTAACACATTTTAATTTTTCTTATAAAACTAACCCGGTTTTGAAAATCGGCCTCACTGATAGCTAGTAATTGCTATTTTCTTGTTAATTTAACAAATTACATCATTTTTAGTTGCTTTTCATCTGTTGTTACATTAGCAATAAACACACATTAAAATTGACATGGTTCTTGATGTAGAATGAAGTAGTGTAACCTGTATGGCGTGTCGGAACAGATACCAGCAAACCGGTTTGTTAAAAATACCCGTCGTTAAATACTGAAAAGTTCATGATATCGTATACAGGTCCTACAGGTACTCTTACTTACTGTGATGTCGTCTTTTTTGTTTAAATATATTTATAATACATAAATTAGATCGAACATTGTTCTTGTGATATTTTGAAAAATATTTGATGTTGTGTGAAATATCGTTTAATATAGTCAACTTACAATAGATCTTATGATTATCTTGATTTTTAATCTTTTTATTATCATTTTTAATGTTTGTGTATTAAATAACGTGGCACATTTGAACAGCTGGCATCCATATCAAACATTGAAATTTACCTTTTCTATCACACACAACACAAGTATTATTTATGTGAGGAAAATGAACTCTTTTTTCATCAACTCGAACCATTCTTTTCAGGTAATAAGTGTGTGGTTGACGTTTAAAACTCTTTTTTCGTGGAGATTTTTATTCCTTTATATTTACTTTGTTCATTGCTCCAGGATGCCGCTTATTAGCACAGATCATGTTATTTATTGATCTGTAACATATGTGGGTTTTATTATGCGACTCTTCAAAATTTAATACCATCATTAGGTAATATAATTATAATAAAGCTCATTGATTGTTCGCCATGGCTTGCAGGCTTAAGATGAAATGTTATAGACAATCGATATGAGACGCGTTTATAAAGTATATCCGTTGTTCCTCTTTCCACTACGACTGAGACTGAGTATTCAGTTTAACAGAATACATCCCAAACAACTTCATATTTGTAAAAATGCCAGTCATTTTGAAGTCCAATATTTTTTACTCGTTATTAATGGAATGATAGTTTAATAGAATATACTAATTGTACAAGTACTTCATTCTGATATACTGCAAACTATTTTTCTTTCGTCACTTTGAATAATCTGCTCCCTGCATCCATCACGGTTTTATTAATGAACAAACAGGCGCAAGGTTCTGTAAAAAGAGTATGTGGTTCTATTGCTTTAAATAAAAGAAAGAAAAATGTTGCTATATTTAGATATTGTTATCAGACATCGCGGGTTATCCATCATTCAGTCAAACAATTTCTGTTCTCTTTAAAAAAAATTCGCGAAATCATAAAAAAAAGTAAAAGTAAATCTCTTCTATTAAGATGGCATCGTGGAAGATCTTAATTCCTGGTCGGAAACATATTTATTGAAGTCAGTATCTAGACGTCCCATCAAATTGTAGCCATATCAATGTGTAGACCCTGTGTCTTTTTACAGATGATATATTTCTTGTTTTCAATGAGAACGTCAACAGTTTGTTGACATGTAACACAATTCAGTTGCATTTGATACACTTGATTGGAACTGACGGTCTACGTTTGACCAGACTTTTAACCAATCCGTGAAAGATGAACCCAGACAGCCCGTGAACAAACCAATATTATTTAGTGCATGATCAAATGTTGTTATTTACAGTCAAACCATTTTCCTGAAATGAGTAGTTAAGTTTCATGGCTAGTATGTAGTACATGTTGTACATGTTTCCTTCAAAATAGAAAAATATTTATCATTTATCACTAAAAATACTGACCTATTTAATGGTAATATTCTGTCATGTCATCAAAATACTGTTATCAAAATTGCAATTCAATGTTAAAACCATTCTTAACAGAGTAACCATAGGAACAAAGATTGATTTTCATGACTACCTCTGAAAATTTAATAATACAAAGTGCAAAACAAAGGAAGAAGTTTCTGTATGATCATCATCCGAATATATTTATTTACAATGATGTGACATTCTCCAAGTTAGAATATTATAAATTAGAGTGCAAATAAATACCTTTAAGAGTATCGGATTTCAGAAAATATGATTAAGTATTGGTAAATATGTGAGCAGATGAGTCTAATCGTATGTCAGTTCATCATTTTATGGGAAAAACACTTTACATGATAGTAGGTATGTGTAGTATCACGGTGTATATGAGAGGTATAATAGCAAACATAGATGACAGTACATGTAAATGGTATACAAAAAGGACGCCTGACATATTCACTAGACAAGAGGTGACGTTAATCCTGTATAAGTGGTAAGATATGTCACTCTGAGGCGTCCTTCTTCTGATGTAAATGATGGATGCACTACTCAACGGCCTTGTTAGTAACACCGATAGTGGTGTAACGTTTTGGTTGTGTATATAATGAACGCCCAACTTCTGATAATAAAAGAGAACAGATGATATCTAAATTACAGGTTTGTAACCTTTAGAAGGAAACTACTAACATGTTCAGGACTTCCATACGTTTTTGCTTCGTTTTATCTCCTTAAACGCTTGAAAGTTCAAGAAAAGAATATGAAAAGGTCTCCTTGGTGTCATCGTGGCTGACATAGATACTGACCGGGCTATAATTTTTTAACATTAAACCTATCAATCTGTTACGTGTTTGCAAACAAGGCAGACATGTTCATTTCGTATTTATGCTTAGAGAAAATGACTCTGAAAAATAAATTTATTGAGATTTTATTACAGACGAAAAAAATCAATCGTAAGTAGAAGTTATTAAAATGTACATAATTTATGTATTAAATTTTCTAATGGAAAAGAATAGCAACAGGTTTCTTATTGAAGTTGTCATGAAACACTACTTTGCAGCATTCAGTTTCGTGGGATGTGAAATTGATTAGTAAGTTTGACTAGTTTTTAACCTCGCTGTGAGAAAGGATTCCATACAGCTAACGCACCAAGCCATTATTTATCACATAATTAAACATTTTAATTTCACAGTTTAAAAGCAAATCTCTTCCTTGAAGTGAATGGTAAAGTTTCAGGAGGACAAAGATTCACCGAGTCGTGAAAGTGCGTTTCGCGTAACAGGGGACATTTATCATCTGTTAGAGCAGTATTTAGAAAATTGCTTGTAAATCCGCACAAAAGGTACATTGACAACAAGAAAAAGGGGGAGGGGGAGGGGGTGTCTCATGAAGCTTGGTGTGTCAGTAGTCGACGTTAAACTATCACACCTGACAACATTAGACATGATAGTGATTAGAACATAACTTGGATGTAATGGAGTAAAGAGAGGTGTTCAGGTAGTACTTTTCTTCACTGGTAGTATTCTATAAATAATTAATTACAAATCACTGACTATCCGTACGTAATGTAAATACGACACAGCCGTAATGGTATCGACTGTCCAGTTCGTACCCGCCTTGTTTCTATTGGATCATAGTTCTGTCATCTCGTGTAAAAGGTTACTGTTAAGTTGCTATGTTCCCGTTTCGGCAGTTGAATGGACGTAACGCCCCTTAAATAGATAAATAAATGCTTCCGTGTAACTTCTATTATAATACGTTTCCTTGTCAAGGAATAGGCCGATGTCTTACAATAATATACCTGTGCTGAGTCATACGTTTTGCGAACTTTGTTATATTCCAAGTTAAGTGACTATTTAGATGTCTGTGATATACTGAAGTTAAACTCTGCCAGATGAATCTTACTTATGTTAGAAAATTTGTTACGAAGCAATTCATCTATGGGAACGAAAAAAAACCGGCTGACTTGTTTAGATGAGATGTTTAGAATGATTGTAAATGTCCTTTTCCTTGTCTTAGGTAATTTCTTCTGATGTTTTACAATGGAATCTTAAAAAGTGTCATCAAATACTTTATCTGATGATGGTTTTTTAAACTACTCAAAACACTAAAATCTATGCAACAGGATTCTTATATGTAAAAAAGATCATTATGTTTTCAATGCCTACACTAGGACTCAAACTAGGGAATTTAGCTAAGTGGTCTGAGGTTCGACCCATCGAGATGAAGAGATGTTCTCCAAGCCGAGCGGTAAATTGAGGCTAGTATTTACCAGGTTACATACTCCCCGCCACAAGTTTACTCGTCCTCGAATTTCCAGATTCTTTCCCAAACCCTACATGTGCGTCAATGTAACAGGGGTCATTATCTAATTCAATACCTCCGGTAGGTCTCGAACCCGGGACCTCTGACGCTCAACCAACCTAACTCAAAGGAAGATCTCTCTAGCCGAGCGGTGTATGATTTGTAGTATTTATCAAAGTTACATATATACACACCATATAAACCAGTGATTATTTTGTTTGTGAGTAGATAAGTATTTCATCAATGTTATGTTCACTGTTTATTTATATTCATTTCAATTACGAAATAATAGAAATTTTAAATTGAAATAAATATAAATATGTTTAAGTTTAAATAAAGTCAATAAATGTATTAAGGAGTTAATGTATTAGAATGACAGCATTTTTTGAAAACTGTTAATTATTTACATTGTGATGACAAAACTGCCATGGAAGTACAGGAAAACATTCCAAAAATGAAGTACGCGGCTCTTATACAAATTCAAATTAATGTAATATCTTACCGAGCGGATTAAGCATTGCCAGCATCATGCTTTGTAGTGAATACTGATACAAATGACATCTGTCCATCATTGTTTAGCCAATAACCATTGTCATTCAATCATCAGCCGACTTTGATTTGACAGTTAATCGAGAGGGGATGTATGATTCTCAACAACTCACCACAGATTTCGTAATAAGAAAAAAAACATACGAACTAATTTAACAGCTGGTTCTGCTATCAATCAACTCGTCTATGCTTACCTTACAGGTATGACTTGCAGATGATGACTTATCAAGACTGTGTGCAAACAAGATGACAATGGTATAACAGAATGTGTGATAGCTATGAAGTCACAGATTGTCTGATAACAATGGTATCACAGATTGTCTGATAACAATGATATCACAGATTGTCTGATAACAATGGTATCACAGATTGTCTGATAACAATGGTATCACAGACTGATAACAATGGTATCACAGATTGTCTGATAACAATGGTATCACAGATTGTCTGATAACAATGATATCACAGATTGTCTGATAACAATGGTATCACAGATTGTCTGATAACAATGCTATCACAGACTGATAAAAATGGTATCACAGACAGATAACAATGGTATCACAGATTGTCAGATAACAATGGTATCACAGACAGATAACAATGGTATCACAGACAGATAACAATGGTTTCACAGATTGTCAGATAACAATGGTATCACAGACAGATAACAATGGTATCACAGACAGATAACAATGGTATCACAGACAGATAACAATGATATCACAGATTGTCTGATAACAATGGTATCACAGACTGATAACAATGGTTTCACAGATTGTCAGATAACAATGATATCACAGATTGTCTGATAACAATGGTATCACAGACTGATAACAATGGTATCACAGATTGTCTGATAACAATGGTATCACAGATTGTCTGATAACAATGGTATCACAGATTGTCTGATAACAATGGTATCACAGACTGATAACAATGGTATCACAGATTGTCTGATAGCAATGGTATCACAGATTGTCTGATAACAATAGTATCACAGATTGTCTGATAACAATGGTATCACAGACTGATAACAATTCTATCACAGACAGATAACAATGGTATCACAGATTGTCTGATAACAATGGTATCACAGATTGTCTGATAACAATAGTATCACAGATTGTCTGATAACAATGGTATCACAGATTGTCTGATAACAATGGTATCACAGATTGTCTGATAACAATGGTATCACAGATTGTCTGATAACAATGGTATCACAGATTGTCTGATAACAATGGTATCACAGACTGATAACAATGGTATCACAGATTGTCTGATAACAATGGTATCACAGATTGTCTGATAACAATAGTATCACAGATTGTCTGATAACAATGGTATCACAGACTGATAACAATGGTATCACAGACTGATAACAATGGTATCACAGATTGTCTGATAACAATAGTATCACAGATTGTCTGATAACAATGGTATCACAGATTGTCTGATAACAATGGTATCACAGATTGTCTGATAACAATGGTATCACAGATTGTCTGATAACAATGGTATCACAGATTGTCTGATAACAATGGTATCACAGATTGTCTGATAACAATGGTATCACAGATTGTCTGATAACAATGGTATCACAGATTGTCTGATAACAATGGTATCACAGACTGATAACAATGGTATCACAGATTGTCAGATAACAATGGTATCACAGACTGATAACAATGCTATCACAGATTGTCTGATAACAATGGTATCACAGATTGTCTGATAACAATGGTATCACAGACTGATAACAATGGTATCACAGATTGTCAGATAACAATGGTATCACAGACTGATAACAATGCTATCACAGATTGTCTGATAACAATGCTATCACAGACTGATAACAATGGTATCACAGACTGTCAGATGACAATGGTATCACAGACTGATAACAATTATATCACAGACTGATGACAATGGTATCACAGATTGTCAGATAACAATGGTATCACAGATTGTCTGATAACAATGGTATCACAGATTGTCTGATAACAATGGTATCACAGATTGTCTGATAACAATGGTATCACAGATTGTCTGATAACAATGGTATCACAGATTGTCTGATAACAATGGTATCACAGATTGTCTGATAACAATGGTATCACAGACTGATAACAATGGTATCACAGATTGTCAGATAACAATGGTATCACAGACTGATAACAATGCTATCACAGATTGTCTGATAACAATGGTATCACAGACAGATAACAATGGTATCAAAGACTGATAACAATTCTATCACAGACAGATAACAATGGTATCACAGATTGTTTGATAACAATGGTATCATAATTACTCTAATTAGTACATTGTAAAGTTATTGCGAGCTGAGCTAACTTCACTAAGGTGCCAACTTTTCTCTTATAATGTTTGTTGATTTAAATATTGTGAATATATTTCAAGTATCTTTTTCCATCGGAAATCCTTTAATGATTTCATTTTAAATAATTTTTATCTACTTATCCTAATTCTCAAAAGTGATCGAAATTTGAGAGCCTCCTAAAAGTCTTAGTATATCTTTAGCTCGGCCTGACACGGATTGAAAAAAGTAAAATCCGATTTTCTTGGGTATTTATTTTCATTGCGTTGTTTTGTGGGTACTTTCAAATCACAAAGTATGTCCACGCACTGTTAAATAGGTAGATTTATAGAATTGTATTTATTTAAGACACCAAGTCTCATTGAAAAAGTATTTTTATAAACCACAAAAATTAAGTCCCACGAATAAATATGATTTTTACGATAAGTTCGTTATGTGTAGAATTCATGTTCATTACATTTTTATCTACAGCAGGCGTTCCCGTCTCGAGTCGGGATCATGGCGCTGCAGCGGTCTCCTCCAGCTGTCCTCCTTGTAACTATCCAGAGGACGTACATGCAGATTGTATCTACAAGGTCATGGCTCCTAACCCCAGGACAGGAGAAATGTGTCCGTACTGTATCAATCTGTGTCCACCAACAGTTCCAAGGAAGGTCCGCAAGATAATCCCTAAATCTAAACCGAAATCGGAAAAGGCAGGAACGCGATCATCTAAAACGAGTACAAAAATTGTCAAAAAGGCAAAAACCAAATCTAAAAAGAAATCTTCAGGGACGAAATCAAATACTGCCAAAAAGACGGGGACTAAAACTAAATCCAGACGTAGATCTACGAGGAGAACTAAGAGCAAGAAAGCTTCGCGAAGGTCGAAACCAAAAAAAGACAAGACTAAAAACCATGCAGCTGTGGTTGAAAAACAATCGCGTCATACACAGCCAATCGTGATGCAGGACCCACAAGTACAAATGATGTACGGTCAGTCTCCGCATGATGAAGTGTCCCCGATTGTGCCTTCTTCGAATACTGGACAATTAAGTGGCAGGATGTCAGATTACAAGGATTCGCGAGCTCGTTCCCGGATGCTGCCACCGGAAATACAACCAAGTGATCCGTACCCAAATGACCCATTGATTTGGTCCGATACGATGATCAGGTCCCATTCGTCAGATTCACGATTTAGGTCAAAAACAAGATACGGTGGTCAAAATTCTCGGACCTCGTATGGTGGAACACGCATGCCTGAACAAGATCATTACTTTGTCGACCGAAGTCTTGGATACCCCAAGTTTCAGGAGAGACAGCACAGTTCATACCTCAACAGATACTATTCTAAGTCGGATGACAGGAGCGACGACAGAAGTGATGATCGAAGTGATGACTGGAATGATGACAGAAGCGATGATCGAAGTGACGACAGAAGCGATGATCGAAGCGATGACAGAAGCGATAATCGAAGCGATGACAGGAGTGATGACAGGAGCAATGAAAGAAACCATGGCCGGAGGCCCTCGCATAGACGTCGGGGCAGGTTTGATGACAATTCCAGCAATGAAAGTGGGGAATACCGTCGAGGACGATCTCAAGACAGTAGCGATGAGTATGACTGACGATAAATGATAATAGGGAAATTAAAAGGTTTCACCTACTTGTTATCTGTGCCTATATTTGCTCGGTGTATGAGCGAAATTAGTTGAGTAAAGGTTACGTTTGTTTATAGTGATGTTATCTCGTTTCTAAAATTATGATAGTGGCTGTATAATGCTTATTAGAGAATAAGATCCGGAAGATAGAAATAACCATATAGTTCATTTTAATGACAAGAATATCCAATGTGATGAATTCACTTGTTCATATGACTTACCGTAAAACCTGGATATGACTGTTTTATCATGTTGAAATATCAGCATCTTTAAAAATAGATTGTAAATCAAACAAAGTGGTTTGTCTTGCTTGAAATTTAACTTCTATACAACAGTCATATATTCACATTCTGTGTTGTATTGGCCATTAGTATACCAAATTGTTGCTTATGAGATTATATACTACAATTTACAGTTATTCAGTCTCTGTAGGAATACAGCTAGATGTATTCCAGGCAAACAAATATGGCCGCCGGTCACTTCCGGTATCACTATATAATAACATATCCAAAGTTAACTTGAACTAGAAGTATTCATGAAGATATTAAGTCACATCAGGAAGAACTAGACTTATGACATACCTTATTTCTTTACAAAGATGTTATTTACCGTAGTTTACCGTCTGCCACGCTAATACACCGATCTAATACTACATGGAATCCGTTGTAAATATTATGTCTGTCTTGACAAACTTTTCTCTTCCCCTGAGGGTGAACGATTCTATTAATCTATATAAAACTAACATCTCCAAAAAACCGGTACCTGAGGTATTCGCCAATATCTTCTGGCATTTAAGGCAGTTTCGACAAAAAAAAATGTTTCTGGAATACTGCCTTACGGGGTTATTTCGACCTAAAAAAAAACTGCCGCACGCTCAGGTAAGTAAGGAGACCCCATCCTGTTAAATTTCAGTAAGGCATTGGACAAGGTTTGTAACGAAAACGTGATCCACAAACGCCATCTGTATGACGTCAGAGGTCACACACTGTAGTGAAAGTTTCCTTAAAGGACCAACACAACGGGACCAAAAGTGTTACGTGTAAAGCTGTAGATAGGCCTAAATTAGACTACACAGCTTCCGTCTGGGGCCCATATACCCAGCATCACTCTAACCAGGTCGAGGAAGTTCAGCGCAGAGCTCCGAGATGGAGCTTGTGTGGATAGGCTGACTTTGATTACACTGGAATACAGATGCTCAGTAACCCGTCTATGTCTGTTTTATAATATCGTTAATGGACAGATGACAACGAGTATCTATACTTTTCTCTGCCTGTCGTTCAGTTGGAACTCTCTTCCAGCTGCAACATTGACAAGTCTTACGCCAACAGCCATCACTGCTCTCCATCTCCCGAAACCATTTGTAACCTTCTATATGTAACTCTGGTAAATTCCAGTCGCAATATACCACTCGGCTAGAGAGATCTTCTCTTAAGCTCGATTGGTTGAGCGTCAGATTAGTAAGCCAGATTCCTTGATCTGAATCTTAATGGATGCCTTGGAATGATTAGTGACCTTTGTTACATACATGCGTATTTACTTATTTTTTCTACTTATTTAACCCAATTTTCAATCGTGTCTCTATCCACTGGACTCAGCTTTTCTCTTCTTTACTGTTAAAAGCCTGATCTTGAATTTACATACTTTAACCATTTTACTTGCACAAGCACGCGCATTGCATATAATACTCGCAAGGGTATGATGCAGTTTAACAAGAGAGAGAGAGAGAGAGAGAGAGAGAGAGAGAGAGAGAGAGAGAGAGAGAGAGAGAGAGAGAGAGAGAGAGAGAGAGAGATCGTCCGTGTCTTATTTTCACTATTTGAAGATCAGGAACTCAGACTAAAGGATGTACTTTCTTGGTGGAATTAAAGCAGTTCAATATTTGCCACGGAATCTAATGGAGTAAAAATCTAGCACTACATAGATGTGGTATTGTCAGAAACATGTTCGGAGTATTATCTTTATTATCAATATCTCCCCCGCGTGAAAAATTTGTAATCGTTTTAATTTACGAACTTGATAATTATTTCCATGCATTCCTTCCATAGAAATAACCTAATATCAAATATGGGTATGATTGGTCGAGAAGAACAGAGATGACATATCACACTGAAAACAAAGCTGACAAATGAACACCAAAAACAATGTCTCCCCTAAACGAATGCATATTCACCATTTTTATCAATATCAGACCATATCTAAATTTGGCATTGCGTCCATTCGCAATGTTGGAGAGGTTAAGTCCATTTACACGTTCTTCCATACAATCATGCTGCATTTTATTGGTTCTTTATCCCAGAAGATATGTTATAACAACTTTGTCATGAAGTTCTCTTGTTGGTGGCGATGTGCTTCATAAAAAATAACTTTTTAAATTGATTTATCTGTACATAGATACTTAAACCGTCATTGTTATATACAATGACATGCTGGGCGTAAGTTACTTTACCACGAGGACACATGGTACAATATAGGGCTACAGTTATATGTTTCCATGATTTTTTTTAAAATCCCCTTCAAAGAAAACCGAACAATCATGAATATTCTTTAAGTCGGTGCAACAAAATAAAAAAAAAGATCTATGACTACATTCTGTGTCATGTTTGAATAGCATCTAACTCTGACCATCAAAGCTAGAATCTAGAGGTGGGATACTTGGCTTGGTTGGCGCGGTGTTAACGCACTCGCCTTTCACCTTAGCGTCCTGTGTTCGATTTCCCGATCGGACATCAGTAGATGTAATAATTTTAGAAAGCGCAGAACAGCGCATATTTTCTGATCATCTTATTTCCAGTTTATGATTCTGAAACCTTTGCCACTTTCCGTCAATGAGAAAAGGTAGCGTCACTTATACGGAAGATGCCGAACGGTCCCGAACAGGCAAAAACATTCACATAAAGAAATCCATGTGTTGATATGCAGGTAATTAAACGTAATTATTTGATTTAATTATACCTGACTTATGAACATTTCTTTAAACTGTTTAATGAAGCCACGAAACAGGCAGGTAAATATGTGTGTATATATATAAGGTCACCTTATTTTCCCTCTGCTTTTGTGCTGTGCCAATTTCTTTTAAATAAGAATTATAAATATAATTATATAGCGCACTTACCTTCAACAAAATAAATCTAATGCCAAATACATTACGTGAATATACAGACACATACACATTTATTCAAATACAAATCAAGCAAATGATTGATCTTGACGAATATACAGACGACATAACATGTACATGATGTTTACAGAAGATTATTAATGCAAACGGAAACACGTGAATTTATACTCCTTTCTTAACTCTAGCGACGGTTTTCGATTTCCTGGTATCAGAAGTCATCTTCCTAACCACGTGGGTGTTTTGTTTACTCCGTATTTACAATACCATCCTTAGCGTGCTCTAATTTGAGCCACCTGGAATGCTTCATGTAAGTTGTTAAAACTTGTTGTGTAATTGCTGTGAAATAAATAAAATTCATATATTTGTTTCATAAGATTTAGTAAATATTGCTCTAAATTTTCTGTCTGAATATGGTAGACTCTAGTTTTGTTTTATTGATTCTGTAATTATACGGTACCACGTACTACCGTCAAAAGAATATTTATGAGGAAAGTAATGCCATAAGGACTGCAAAAAAAATGTTTTGAACTTGTGATGGGAGATAACTCCAGCAAAATTTTTGGATTTTTTATTTTTATTATTATTTGGTTTCCTCAGTGGAGTCTAATTTTATGAATGTTTAATCAGATATTAATTTCGAGTTATTAATTTGTATCTGCGATAAAATTAATTTCTTCAAACATCAGAACTTTAAGTATTGACCCCCTTTCTCGTAATATTCTTGCAGTAAGGATATGATTTTCTTAGCGAATTTTTGTTCATTTTTATAATATTCTTATCATAACAGAGATCATAATATATTTATCGTGAATATGTTTTCGATGTTAGATGATTTTAAGGTACCCACCCCTCTTATATGGCAGCTTTATTTACATCAACTTATAAAAGTAAACCCGGCACACCTACGGTAGTCCTAGATCACCTGGTATGTAATATAATAGAGATTTTCATGATTACATCGATCGCTACGACACTAAAATTTTATGTTTTTAAAAGCAAGCTATAAACATGTCAATGACCTAGTGCACAGCTCGCACGGATCACTGAATCGGAAAACCTCTCGGTCTTTTCCGTCATTCACCGGAAAGGTGTTTTACCAAAAACTGACGGAAAGGCCCGAAAGGTTTTCCGATTCAGGGATCTGGTTTAGTATTCTATAGAGATTATCATTTCTTACGTCATACATGTTATAATGCCGTACTTAGTTACGTAGATGGAGAACGACTCGTATTTATAATACCTGGTAACAATAGGGATTTAGGCTTCGTTGATTTCTTTTAACAATGTAATGTAGATGGAATGTGCTCCATTGTCTACCAATAGGGTAAACATTACAATAGCCTCGTCTACTTTCCTTTGTACAATTGTCCTTGTACTTTCATCCAATTCTTTCTTCGTTGTACACGTACAAGAGTACAAATATGTCGCCTTGGAATTTGTACTCATTCTGTTCAAAAGAAAAGCTTGGCCTCAGTCAAACATGTTAGTCAGTATACCGGTGTTCTTGTTGTCATAGGCACTGAATCGCGTTAAAGATACCGATAAACTATAAAAAGATATTACTATTCTTAAAAAAGGCGACCTATTAACGAAATAATAATTTTACACAGCCTATTAAACTGAAAAAAAATAAACATATTCACCCTTCTGAAGAAAAAGACCGAAGTACTAAGGCTAGATGTGGTATATACTAATAAAACAGCCGAACAATTGTGGCCAGATGTGGTATATACTAATAAAACAGCCGAAAAACTGTGGCCAGATGTGGTATATACTAATAAAACAGCCGAAAAACTGTGGTCAGATGTGGTATATACTAATAAAAAGGGTCGAAAAACTGTGGCCAGATGTGGTATATACTAATAAAACAGCCGAAAAACTGTGGCCAGATGTGGTATATACTAATAAAACAGCCGAAAAACTGTGGCCAGATGTGGTATATACTAATAAAAAAGGGTAGAAAAACTGTGGCCAGATGTGGTATCTTCTAATACAAAAGGTCGAAAAACTGTGGCCAGATGTGGTATATTCTAATAAAAGGGGTAGAAAAACTGTTACCAGGTGTGGTATATTCTAATAAAACAGCCGAAAAACTGTGGCCAGATGTGGTATATACTAATAAAAAAGGGTAGAAAAACTGTGGCCAGATGTGGTATATACTAATAAAAAAGGGTAGAAAAACTGTGGCCAGATGTGGTATCTTCTAATACAAAAGGTCGAAAAACTGTGGCCAGATGTGGTATATTCTAATAAAAGGGGTAGAAAAACTGTTACCAGGTGTGGTATATTCTAATAAAACAGCCGAAAAACTGTGGCCAGATGTGGTATATTCTAATAAAAAGGGTAGAAAAACTGTGGCCATTTGTGGTATCTTCTAATACAAAAGGTCGAAAAACTGTGGCCAGATGTGGTATATTCTAATAAAACAGCCGAAAAACTGTGGCCAGATGTGGTATATACTAATAAAAAGGGTCGAAAAACTGTGGCCAGATGTGGTATATAATAATAAAAAAGGGTAGAAAAACTGTGGCCAGATGTGGTATATACTAATAAAAAAGGGTAGAAAAACTGTGGCCAGATGTGGTATATTCTAATACAAAAGGTCGAAAAACTGTGGCCAGATGTGGTATATTCTAATAAAAGGGGTAGAAAAACTGTTACTAGGTGTGGTATATTCTAATAAAACAGCCGAAAAACTGTGGCCAGATGTGGTATATTCTAATAAAAAGGGTAGAAAAACTGTGGCCATTTGTGGTATCTTCTAATACAAAAGGTCGAAAAACTGTGGCCAGATGTGGTATATTCTAATACAAAAGGTCGAAAAACTGTGGCCAGATGTGGTATATTCTAATAAAACAGCCGAGAAACTGTGGCCAGATGTGGTATATTCTAATAAAAAAGGTCGAAAAACTGTGGCCAGATGTGGTATATTCTAATACAAAAGGTCGAAAAACTGTGGCCAGATGTGGTATATTCTAATACAAAAGGTCGAAAACCTGTGGCCAGATGTGGTATATTCTAATACAAAAGGTCGAAAAACTGTGGCCAGATGTGGTATATACTAATAAAAAGGGTCGAAAAACTGTGGCCAGATGTGGTATATTCTAATAAAACAGCCGAAAAACTGTGGCCAGATGTGGTATATTCTAATACAAAAGGTCGAAAAACTGTGGCCAGATGTGGTATATTCTAATACAAAAGGTCGAAAAACTGTGGCCAGATGTGGTATATTCTAATACAAAAGGTCGAAAAACTGTGGCCAGATGTGGTATATTCTAATACAAAAGGTCGAAAAACTGTGGCCAGATGTGGTATATTCTAATAAAACAGCCGAAAAACTGTGGCCAGATGTGGTATATTCTAATACAAAAGGCCGAAAAACTGTGGTCAGATGTGGTATATTTTAATACAAAAGTTCCAAAAACTGTAGCCAGATGTGGTATATTCTAATACAAAAGGTAGAAAAACTGTGGCCAGATGTGGTATATTCTAATAAAAGGGGTAGAAAAACTGTTACCAGGTGTGGTATATTCTAATAAAACAGCCGAAAAACTGTGGCCAGATGTGGTATATTCTAATAAAAGGGGTAGAAAAACTGTTACCAGGTGTGGTATATTCTAATAAAACAGCCGAAAAACTGTGGCCAGATGTGGTATATTCTAATAAAACAGCCGAAAAACTGTGGCCAGATGTGGTATATTCTAATAAAACAGCCGAAAAACTGTGGTCAGATGTGGTATATTCTTATACAAAAGGTCGAAAAACTGTGGCCAGATGTGGTATATTCTAATACAAAAGGTCGAAAAACTGTGGCCAGATGTGGTATATTCTAATAAAACAGCCGAAAAACTGTGGCCAGATGTGGTATATTCTAATACAAAAGGTCGAAAAACTGTCCAGACGTGGTATATTTTAATACAAAAGGTCGAAAAACTGTGGCCAGATGTGGTATATTCTAATACAAAAGGTCGAAAAACTGTGGCCAGATGTGGTATATTCTAATACAAAAGGTCGAAAAACTGTGGCCAGATGTGGTATATTCTAATAAAACAGCCGAGAAACTGTGGCCAGATGTGGTATATTCTAATAAAAAAGGTCGAAAAACTGTGGCCAGATGTGGTATATTCTAATACAAAAGGTCGAAAAACTGTGGCCAGATGTGGTATATTCTAATACAAAAGGTCGAAAAACTGTGGCCAGATGTGGTATATTCTAATACAAAAGGTCGAAAAACTGTGGCCAGATGTGGTATATTCTAATACAAAAGGTCGAAAAACTGTGGCCAGATGTGGTATATTCTAATACAAAAGGTCGAAAAACTGTGTCCAGATGTGGTATATTCTAATACAAAAGGTCGAAAAACTGTGGCCAGATGTGGTATATTCTAATACAAAAGGTCGAAAAACTGTGGCCAGATGTGGTATATTCTAATACAAAAGGTCGAAAAACTGTGGCCAGATGTGGTATATTCTAATACAAAAGGTCGAAAAACTGTGTCCAGATGTGGTATATTCTTATACGAAAGGTCGAAAAACTGTGGCCAGATGTGGTATATTCTAATACAAAAGGTCGAAAAACTGTGGCCAGATGTGGTATATTCTAATACAAAAGGTCGAAAAACTGTGGCCAGATGTGGTATATTCTAATAAAACAGCCGAAAAACTGTGGTCAGATGTGGTATATTCTCATACAAAAGGTCGAAAAACTGTGGCCAGATGTGGTATATTCTAATACAAAAGGTCGAAAAACTGTGGCCAGATGTGGTATATTCTAATACAAAAGGTCGAAAAACTGTGGCCAGATGTGGTCGAAAAACTGTGGCCAGATGTGGTATATTCTAATACAAAAGGTCGAAAAACTGTGGCCAGATGTGGTATATTCTAATACAAAAGGTCGAAAAACTGTGGCCAGATGTGGTATATTCTAATAAAACAGCCGAAAAAGTGTGGTCAGATGTGATATATTCTATTATAAAGATCGGAAGGCTAAAACGATCTGTCCATTATTCTATAAAACTATGAATTTATTTATGAATAACTATTGTATAACATCTATTATGTATTTTTTTTATTCTATAGAGTGTGATCAACTGTGATGAATACTTGACAAAAGAAAGAATATCATATCATAGATGTTATCAAAGGATGTCAATTCTTTTATAAGGATGATTAACTATGAAGGAATATTCTGCCATAAGTATTCCATACAGATGCATTAATACATTACATTTGTTGTTACTGTTACAAATTCTTCAGAGCCTTGAAAATTAAGGTTAACAAAACTTATCATCAAAACATGTTTAAGAAAACATAGAATTAAATATCACACAGGAGAACATTCTATATGTTCCTATACATAGTACAAATATCGACGGATCATTTCTAACATAAAATCATATAGATACAGTTGTTTTTAAAAAAACAACATTGGTCCTTCTAAACTGCTTCGGTGAAAACCTGTTTAACAGATATATAAGATTTTACGATGTTACACGGATATGACATGTTTTCAGTGCATCTATTTGAAGTTTTTAATGAAAAACTGTGTTTACAAATGCATTTGGTATTTTGAATTAAATAGCCCTAGCTGGTATTCACGCTACGTTGACTACACAGAGCGACACACCCACTAGTGTATAATAGCAAATGTTCCAGTAAGTGTGTGTGCATACACGAGTGGCTACGTAGTTAAAACCCTACACCCCATTTACACCTGAAGTCACGGGACAGTTTTACCAGTAAACAGCGGTTTCTCATACCTCGCTAGTTCATTATGTATTTTACTGCCGGAAGGAGAAAGGATTACAAATGCTGGTGCGTTTTTTTAACATGAACTTACACGACAGAACGCTTTGTTTACATTTATTTTAGGTATAACTACCATTTTACTACCTACACAACACGTGGATTTCTAACGACACAAGTATAGAAGAAGGATTATAACTGTTGTGTACTTTGTGTTTACATCTCTTGGACGCTATTTTTCACACTATTTGGATGAGAGAGGAAGGACAGAACTAAGAATATGGCATATCAACCAGTGCCTTTAAAAGAGCCAGGGTATTCGCCTGATCAACCTCAGCGTATGTATACTAAAAAACCGCTTTTACCTCTGCCTCCATCTCATACTCGGAAAGAACAATTCCCACAACAAAATGTGATTCCAGTGTACACTCCCTTTGTGACTTATCCTCAAGAATACTACCATAAGGGAATCGCCCCTCCACCATTAGAACAGTACCTACCACTTCAGACCGATCAATTAGTTGGCATCAATGGCAACGATTATTCAAAACAACCTGTGGAATGTTATCCAGAATTGATAAGAGATGACTGTCCAGACAAACCGAACGTTGACAATTCCACACAAGGAAGTCAACAATTTCCAAAGGACTTTAATTCAGAATATGACAAAGGAGGTATCCACAAGACTAGAAAGAACGAGTACGAACCATACCCTAAAGCCAACAGACGGGGCAAACCGGAGTCAGGAAATCGCACCAGAGACAACCAAGCGAATCAAAGTGATGGAGGATGCTCCTCTGATTATCGCAGTGATGATGTCATAATATACCAGAGGAATGGGACTTCATCACATCGACAAGATCAATACAGCGATCATCGAAGCGATGACTCTTCAAAACATCGCAGGGATGGTGTTTCATCACATAAACAAGACAGTTACTGCAATCAGCGACGAGAAGATACATCCAGACATCGAAGGAATGACCACTTACCACCCAAGACCGATGATAAATCCAAACATCACAGGGATGATTATCCATCACGCCGACAGAACAGTTACTCTCACCATCAAAGCGACGATAAATATAGACACGCAAGGGACAGTAACTCACCACATCGAAAAAAGAAATATTCCGAGCATCGAATTGACGATAGTTTGAAGCATCAAAGGGACACATATTCTCCACTTCGAAAGAACAACAACGAAAATCATCGGGACGACGATAAATTCACTCCTCGAAGGAATGCAAACTCATCACGCCGTTCGGATACCTACAACGATCATCGCAACGACACCAAATCTAATCAGCAAAGGAGCGACCATTCATCTACTCGCGAAAATGGCTACTACGATTATCGAAACAATAATTGCTGCAAACATCAACGTAACGACTCATCATCACATCGACACAACGACCACTCCGATCATCGAAACAACGTTAGTTCCAAACATCAAAGGAGGGAACAATCATCACATCGACGCGACAATTCCTCTGATCGTCGAAGCAACGATAGTTCAAAACGTCGAAGTGACGTTTTCTCCGACCAATCTCGCGAAGATAGCTACAGCGATAATATTGGCGATTATCGCGATAACTACGATTTCTCGTCAGGAGATTACTATACATACTCAAACGACAAAGAGCTCGTATCAGAAGATGAACCAGTTTACATAACGACAGACAGGTTTGTTTTTGTTTATTATTTTGTATAATCAGCATTTACACGCATGCCATTGTTATAATTTACTACTAAAACCATTCGTTTAAAGTACCACAGAAAACGTTTATAAGAAGCGACAGTCCTTCCCCACAGGTAAGCACACACACTGATGTATGTAAATATTTAGTACACTATATGAACTGCAGGTGGCACCAGGCTTATTTCCAGGTTTACTTCAAGTTAACACAAGTCTACTCTGTGATAACACAAGAAAGTTATTGAATTCTATAATCCGGCAGTAAGGCCGTATAACCCCAGCTATTAACTGGAACTCATTGGTTTAACATGTACTGGTTGTAGACCGATATCGACAACACGTGGTACCCGTATATAAAACACCACTAAATATATACATTCTTGAACCACCCGGACCGCGCTATGTATCTGGTAAATTATTAACTTAATATCACTACCCCCACACCTTGCTTACATTGTTAATCTGATAGAGATGCTAGTATATCGAATGATTACCGACTTCATGTATAACTACTGAAAGGTTATATCACCTGGTACCAACTTTTATCATAAAATTAATTGTACATTATATGATAAATACACAAAATCATATTAACTTCGAGTAACAACACATGGCATGATATGTTTATCTGATATAACTACTGGTGTACCATATGATAAACACACAAATTGATGATTAACATCGAGTGACAAAACTTGGCCCTATCTGTTTATGTGATAAAGCTACTGGTATACTATAGGATCGATCAACAAATTGATAGTTATCTTCCAGTAATAATACCTGACGCTTTTTACCTGATAAAACTACTAATAAACCTATAAGATAATTTCAACAAATTGATAGTTATTTTCAATTTTAACGCCCATTGTGTTCTGTTTATCTGATAAAGCTATTAGAATTACCGTCAATTATGCTATCCGAACAGGTCAATAATTGTCCTCAAGTAATACTGACATATACGGCTAATCCGGCACAGATACAGGTATGATTCATAGGTATTGAAAACGTTGGATCTAAATCATATCATTTACCACAATTTATCTATGTTTTTAAAAAATCCAGTATTATAGAAGGTAAGCGAACTCAGTCAAAACCATATGGTGCGATAGTTTCCGGCCGGTAAACAGCTTGCGCACGGCGTTAATTGTTTCGTCAATAATCTGTTTGCAGGGCAAATGAGATGAGATCAATGATGGAAAGACTTCTGAATAATAAGACCCAAATGAAAACAAAATCTATATGTCGATTACCATTTTTTTACCAATTAAAGTCAGTTATCTGAGTTTGTTTTTACATATATCCGTACATATATATGTTTTTTTTACTTCCCTTAATTTCATCGTCGTGACCTCGCGTGTCGATAGACCGTATCTGTTTATATCGGTGATGGATCAAGATCAAAACATTAACTTCAAAACGTCCATCCTAAAACTCCGAACGAAAAGAAACAAGCTAATGTTAATAAATATAGTGTTACTAAAATAGTTCATGGTGTAATCAAATATGATGGAGGCCATGGAAAAACTCGATAGGTCAAAGTTCGAGACTTAATCAATAACATAAAATCACGAGTCTTATTTCCAATGCAGTCGTCACATCTGACAGGTTTCATTAGGTCTAGTAAATATTTGTTAAGTCTGGTCAATTTGACAAGAAAAGAAACGTGTTAAGCAAAGACATTAGGTACGGCCGGGCACTTTTATTATTTACAAGTGGAAATTAATTTTATTTCTATATAAAGTCTAGCTTAGTAATGGTATACATAATATTTATATCGTAAATAGCTGTCAGAACAGCCTTCACACGTATAGGTTGACGTATCTTTAATCTGGCCTATTTACAAAAGGCATTCATGAAACAATATTTCAGACTGGTAAATTCTTATTTGAACAAATGATTTTCAAGGTAAGCCAACACGTACGTTCATCTCGAATAGCCTCATGTATGTAACACTATTAACATATCTGTTCCATGTATTGTAAATCTACTTTATGGTCTAGTTTGTAACACTCCTGTCAGTGAACTGATTCCGTACTACTTCTAATCTGATCACAACAGCTGAATTAAATCCTAATTCAAGCTACACTTTATAGAATGAGTTCATTATGTAAATTTGGTCTTGTTGTAGACAATGATACAATGATATAGTCTTTATCTCATTAACAAACGGAACACAAGACAATGCTAGATACAAGAATATCGATTTAAAGTCTTAGTAGGTAACTTCTGCTTGATACAATTATTCTTACGACTTAGCATTAGTACAACAGTTAACACAACAAAATATCACAATGAAATCAGCATCACAGAGAGCTGAATATATGGAGTAATAAACAAAACTTCTAATTATTGATTATAATGTTCATGTAGCAAATAGATTATATATTAAAAGACATGTATCTAATGTATTTATATGTCGTTATGGCAAAAAATGAAAATTCAACAATGCATTAATATTAAAAAAAAAAACATTTTAGAAATGGCAATTTAGAAATAATTACAAATACAAAAACACCTCAAAAACAGCGGTATAGTAATAATAAGGAATTAAGCGATAACACATGCTAAAGGTTCCCGCATACATTTTCATCTACACCTACATATGGAGGCTTCCTAGGTGTGTAACAGAATCCGGAAGATGGGACAGGATTCAGACTGTTCCACACCAGGGTCGCCTCGAATCCAACGGATTTCTTACAACAACTAGTGGTCTTGCTTGCGGATTATTAGCAATGAGGTTGCTCATAAAATCATTATTTGAAATTACTAAGGGCTGATACCGTGTAGAACCTTAAGGCCTTCTATAGTCATACATTGTAGGCGTCTAACATGAAGGATAGATCCATTATTTCTTCCTAAAATAGTATATAGAGTAGTAGTAAAATCGTTCTCTATAAATCTGACTGCCCTTTCCTGTATCTTTTCTATTTTTTCCGAGCTAGAGGGCAGCAGTTGAAATTTGAAAAAAAAATTATATATATATATATATATCTCTGCGGGTTCTGCAAGACTGTGAGCTTCCATCGATTGAAAACTAGCATCTGACACACACTAAAGATCCGCCTACCAGCTAAGAAAACAGTTTCCAACTGTCGGGATAAACAAATCCCCGCTAGACTTCGAAGAATCTCACTCTATACCCTCAAGAGTGTACCATATCCTCAGCATGTTGAGTGGATTCAGGTAGGGATTTGATAGCGAACATTGGCTGCAATAGCCTATTGTATATCCCGATATTTTGTCTAAATAGTTATTTCTCCTGGGACAACCGAGTAATGTTTAGTTTGAGATTTTAAATGCACTTCCACTAGATCATCTCTAGCTTACAACTATGTAAAATATGAAAACTCATTTCTACAACAAATGTATGAGTGCTTGCAGTATATTAATTTGGGCACAGCAAAAAGATTTGAAAATGAGTAGCATGGAAAGCGAAGATTAAATTTTTAAATGGTTATATGTTCAAATTTCCACGTTTCTTCTTGAATAACTAAATCAATTACCAAAATATACTGATTAGAGTAAATTTCAGCGTTGATATTTCAAATACTTTCACAAGGAGCCCAAGAACGTATTAGTAAAGATATAACAACTTGTGTATATTTTCGTAAAACTTTCAATCACCATAAAATCTTATAATATTTGTTATATCTTCACTGACCCTGTTGTTTGGGAATGAATCGGTGATACTCTGCTGTGTTTTGATATTTGCGGCGTTGTGGTTCAATCACGTCAATTAAATGTGCTACATTTCGATATATATTTGATTTGATTTGATACAGAATTTTCAAAAACAACATAAAGCATGATGATAGTGTTAATCTTATACACACAGGAGCAAAGAAATTTAACATTTATTGTTAATTTCACGGAGTCCAACTTGATGAAAATTGGATATGTTATCAGAGATGAAGACTTACTAAGATGTGTTCTTCCTCAGTTATCTACTTGCGAAGTGCTGAATTACAATTACATCCAATTTACTAATGTTTTAATTGAGCGAACTTCTGGTTATGACGCAATCATCCTTCAGTAGTTCATGTGCAGTCAAACGTCGTTATTTCGAACCCCTACAACTCAAAGACCTTGTTTGATTCGAAGCGTTTCGTTGGTCCCGGCTGAACTTGAAAAGTTTTCCAACGGTCTCGCCGATTCGAATTAACGAGATTCGACAGTATATTGTTTTAAGAATTCAATGACTAGTTAAAGTAACTCAGAAGTGCAACTCTTTGATTTTACCTTAGCTACATTAATAATTATTCATGGTCATGTTATGAGCCATATAAAACCATGATATACACAATCCATTTGCTTTCGTAGACAAATATAATATTTACACATCAAACACATAGCGATCAAATAAGACAATTTTGTTTTCAAATGGGTGCAAATTTATTAAGAATTTAAATGTTAAGAGGGTTGACGCCCACGCTGACGTAATGATTACCGATATTTAAACACACATTCCCGTACATCTTTATAACAGCGAATTTAATGCTCCTCTACTGAATACGACTTATTCAATTTTGTGCTGAGTAATTCTAAATGACATGATTCGCTTTGGAGTAGATTATAAACATGATTATGTCATAATTTAGCGTATGTTAAAAGGTGGGGTTTGGGACTGATGATAATCGGTGAATGATTTAAATGACAACCTACACGCGGAGAACACGTATCAATATAAATAACTTGCAGTGAAGATATTAAAAAACAACTGTTATTTGTTGTATGAATGACTAGAACCTGAAATACAATGAGCTGAAGGGAATGAGTTTTTCAGTGTACACTGAGAGTCGCAACTGCATCTATAGAATAAAATGATAATGCACAAGGGCATACCAAATACTATACAAGAACCCTTTGCCTCTATTTATAATGACTAATGAATAGGATGTGTCATTGACTACCTAATATTTGTCGTTCTTGTCTTTGTTGATTGTGTCCCGGTATTTGCCATTTTTTCTTTTAATGTCAGTGTCTCCTT